CTTGTTCTGAGTTTTGTTTTGTATCAAAGTTCTATCATATAGGAAACTCTTCTAGAAAATTAGGCTCTTGTTAATAAATAGTTGGATGCCATTGTAACTGTATGCATAAACTCACCTCATCTTTACAACAACCCCATAAGATAGCTATTACTACTATCCTCATTTTACAGAAAAGCAATTTAGGCATCAGGGAGATTCAATAGCTTTCACAGCTACTAAGGAGGCTTGGATTCAAATGAAGACCCTTCTGCTTCTAAAGCCACAAGGATATACTATTTCCCTGTGTAACTCTAATCAGATCCTTTCTGGCTGGAAATTTATAGCTCTTCAATCAAAGGTGTATATGTTCTGGAATACAGTTTGTAGATGTAAAAATTAACAGTAAGTAGCTGATCTAGTCCCAACTTTTTATATTTTTTTTATGCCTGTGTCTTTAGCTAGCCCTTGGGTTTGTTAATTTCTTCTTCTTTTTTTTTTTTTTTTGTTCCCCTTTTTTAAGAAATGCTATTTCTGTTTAAGTGCTGCCTGATTTGGAAATCATTCTTGTGACTAAATAATTTTTTTTTTTTTTTTTGCCCTAGTAAGAGCCCCGTGTAGGGCTATGCTGTCAGTGAGTGCTCAATAAAGATTAACGGATGACCGTGCACGTTTGTGTGGGAGTTGTGTGCTTAGGATCTGCTCAACTTTTTGAAAGGAACAGAAATGATGTGGGGGAGATGAAAATCATAGGATGATCAGAATGATCAGATGATCAAATGATCTGGATTTGACTTTATCATCGGAACCAATCCAAACCCACTGCCATTGAGTCAATTTCGACTCATGGCAATCACAAAGGATAGAGTAGAACTGCCCCCATAGGGTTTAGGGGTCAAAAACAATCCAGTACAGAAGGAATAGGAAATGTGATAACCTTGATAAATGGTTGGAAAGTGTTGTGAAAATTAGATTCCAGGGTCCAGTTCCAAACTTAATACCATATATGAGAGCATTTGGTTCCTTGATGAGGACTGAAGAAAATCAGATTTTTTTAAATTGACACATTTTCTATTATTATATACATACAAAGATGATGAGTAATATGTCATATCAAATGGTTTATTCAAACTGTCAGAACAAGAGCTGAAGCGTGAGTAACTTTCCAGAGATTCTTCTGAGAAATTCAAGGAGTGAAAAGTGGCAGTAAGTAGCCACAAGTGTGTCTACCACTCAACCCTACCTGAAACTCTTGGGGAACAAAAATAAGTTTTCCCTGAAGCAAATGGTACAACACTTCTAGAAGAGAGGAAACAGACCAATAATTTAAACTTGCTTTTCTGGTGGCATAGCACTTAAAGCATTTGACTACTAACCAGAAGGCTTGCGGTTCAAACCCACCAGCCACTCCTCGGAAGGAAGGTTGTAGTGATACCACCTCGGAAACCCAAAGAGGGGTCACTATGAGTCGGATGTGACTCGATGGCAGTAGGTTTGGTTTTTGGTTTGGTTTTCACACACACACACACACACACACACACAAAGCCAAATGTCCATGCTCTACCTGGATTTGTACATGTGACAAAAGTGTGAGGTCCACCAAGTGGGCTGGGAGATGATGTCTTCATGATGATGTCTTCATGATGACTACTGAGTCCCTTTCTATATCCTACAGGACATTATGATATCAGGACATTCACTTGCAATATTAACCTTTGTTTTGGCAACAGGGCAAGTGGAAGGAGGAAAGCCTTAGTTACTAGGAGTGGTACCATAGGTCCATATTGTGGTGTAGTTGAAGTGTATTAGCAAAGTCATCAGATGGCCTGATTCTGCTCTATTCTATCTCAGTACCTTTACCTGCAAAGTGAGCAGAGTAGAGGATAGATTTCTAGGGTCCATTCCAGTTCTAATATTTCAAGGTATCTTTGATAAGTTCCCCCACAACATGAACATTCTTCAATGGGAAAACTCCATGAGGTTTTGGATGAGAGTTTGAGTATACAACTCTACCTTTTAAAAATTCTCCTTTTAGAAAATGAAGTTATATAATACGCTGTAATGCAAATGAAACTTGACAACATTATGATCAGTGAAATAAGTTGGTCACAGAAGGATATATATTCTATGATCCCATTTACATAAAATATCTGGAATATAGAAGGGTATGGAGGTCAAAGTTGACTAGTGGTTACTGGGCGGGGACGGGCAACAGAGAAAGGTGAAGGAAGACACAATGCTCAGGGGATACTGAGCTTCTGTTAAGGATAATGAAAAAATCTGGTTAATGGCTAATGGTGATGGTTGAACATGATGAACAAAATGCCATTGAACTGTACTTGTGAAGACTGTTGAAATGGCAAATATTTCAGTGCCTACATATCTACCACAAATTAAAAAAACTCACTGGTGTCGAGTCGTATCTGACTCATAGCAACCCCTCCTTGGGTTTCTGAGGCAGTATCACTACAGAAATAGATTGCCCAACCTTCCTTCCAAGGAGTGGCTGGTGGGTTTGAAC